GTTTTCGATCTATCTCGTATAGGTTGAAGATAAAAAGAAATGAATGTATAATGATGTCATCGTATAGTAAAAACAATAGTTCGCTAGAATTGAGACCGGTTCCGGTGCTCTCTAGCTAACAGTTACAGTTCTAGTGAACTTGAATTCTTGGACAGTTCAAGTTCACAGTCATAGGAGATGGAGATCGAGTGACCAAAGATATAGAGGAGGGCAGAAAATGATTGTAGTAATGAAAGGTTTAACATCTTTTCATATTTCAAACACACACGTTTGTATGTTCGTTGTGTAATGAAAAAGCACAAGTGACTGACTGCGTTCGTGCGCAGAGTGAATAACAACGGACGTTTTTCTTTCTCTCTCTCTCGCTGTTAGTATCAGAAATAAATTGGATTTTTTTGAAGAAGGGAGTGCTGGTCGACACTTCAATGACTTTTTTTGTTTGATTAACTTTCGGATGAAGAAAAAGTGCGAAGGTTTCATGCCGCGAGTAACACTCGGTTGCTCGGTGTTTTTAATCAGCAAGACACATGAAAGAGTCTTATTCAGCACTACTGAATATTTTTTTGTGCGCAATTCACAGAAAGAGTTGAAACTTACAAAAGTGTCTGTTCTTCGAGCGCTAAAGACGTGTCAATATGGAGGTGTAGATGATAGCGGCTGAGATAATCATGGTTTTTATTCGACATTTCGATGATTAGGTCATCATTATTATGAAAAAGCTAACAACAATAATATAAATAAATTGAGAAACAAAACAATAGAATGGGAGTTCTATTGTCTTGTTCGAAATTCGTGACGAGTGCCAGTACTGGCATCAGTCATATGAAGAAACTGTAAAGCGGAACGTCGACATAAACGTGAACAGATGAAAAATTCGATAGAGCACAAATTTTACGATGCCGACAGAGATCATGGGAATTGATAGAACTTGTTCAGCTTTATCAGACCATCCTCTTGGTGTAATTTTCTCGAAATCTTAATGAGATAATGAACACGCAGCCTAAGACTATGACGTATCTTTTTGGCTTTTGCTTCATTCTATTAGTCTTTATAATCCCTCATTGAAAAACAAGCTTCGATATGTGTTTGTCAGAGAAATTTTATGATCTACAATTCAGACACAACGTTAACTTTTCCGAATTCTCCTGTAACAAAAAACAGGAGAAAGCGTCCAACTATACATGGTATTTTCTTTCTGTCATCGACTGCTCAGGAGCAAAAAGTCGAAATTGTGCCATCCAGAATCCATCAATAAACACGTCAGAACTACCACGCCACGTTTTTCTCAGTTCTCCTACCAACAAAAGATGGTAAACAAGATCAAAAAGGGTAAAAGAAATGAGAGACGACGGCTGATGCTGGGGGACAGCAACTGAGAAGAAACAATGTCTCTCTTTTCTCGACTGACGTTCTCTCAAATAGTCTCGAGCTTATTGGTGATAATGAAAAGAGAAAAATAATGTTTTCTCCGCTCCAATCGTATTGTATTTGGACCGTTTTCCTTTTTTTTTAGTCACAGTTGTAATCCTATTATCCATGTAAAGCAAAAAGTGCCCGAAAAAAACTTATTTACACTTTTGGAACCAGAAAAGTGAACTTAACTACTATTTACCACTTTTTTACTATGAAAATCATGATTTAGAACAAACACTTGAGGGTGTGAGGGTGTGTCAAAGCAAAACTATGACGCATTTCGACCTTGCTCGAAGGTCTCTTCAGATAGTTTGAGACTTAATAACTAATCATAATGATCTTAGGATCACAATTAAGTTAGTTAATCTATATTCTACCATGATTTCTGGTTAATGAAGTTATAGTAGTAATAGATATCGGTGAAGTTGTTTTCACAATACGAAGCATGATCGGTATTTGACTTCGGTAAATTGCTCGGTTGATGGGTTTTGTTATGGAATCAGATGAGAAAATTTTCCAATTCCCAGGTCGAGCAATTCGACAGTAGGCATCTATCGGAACCCATCCGATCCGACTGGAATCCAATAGAATTTTATCGGATCCTGTCAGATTTTACAGAATTATCGTTGGATTCCGGGCCGAGGAATCCAATAGAATTGTATCGGATTGTAGGATATTTCCAGGTTCCTATCGGGTCCGATGTCGGATCAGTCGACCTGGGGTGTTATGCAAATTGTCAAGAAATGGTAATCTCTTTTTACAAAAATGACTTGAAACAACTCTAACATCTTTTGATCGATTCAGAAATTTATCGTTTTATAAATATATTATTCAAATTAGTGTTACATCGTATATGTACTAACAACAATTTTTATCACGAATGATTCTGGTCGTAATATATTATTTTCATCACACAATAGACTTGAAGAAACACAATTACTGATGATGATGACTAAATTTCTATTTATCTTCATCAAGTGGAGTAAGAATAGTATTTTTCTTGTCGTTTTATTAGAAATTAATTGTAACTCTCCCAGAATTAATATCGGAGTTTATAATGATACGCTGGAATTATAATTACAATTGTTTCTTTCGTAAGTATAATAACAAATTCTGTACGCTTAAATGTTCAAGTTTGACTTTTGAATAATTTCACTAAGAAAACATAAATTTTATTTATTGTAAAGTTTTTCCTATTAAAAAATATAATGATTTATTAGATGATGTTTTACATGTATTTGTGGCAGTAGAGTTTAGAATTTAGTTGAGATTGGAATTGTTGATTATTCTATAACATGTTATGAGAGAGTGATTCATAGGAATAAAATTTTATTAGCGAGTTATATGAGATAGTTTGATTGATTATGTAGATTCAAAAACACGTTGTTGTTTCCAAGATTAATCCTATCAATCTTTCANGACTCTCATTAGTTAAATAAAATTTGGTGCACATGGGAATGGTCATCAATTTCAGCTCCCCACCATCACTGAAAAGTCGACTACAAAAAAGAATTAAATAAACTTTTCTAGAGGGTATGGACATCAAACAAGAAAGAAAATAGGTACGTTCACATCTCACTACACTTCGAGGAGTCTGAATTTACATGAAGTACGTTTTTTCCATCTAAAATTTTGACCAACATACAGTGTTCGCTGAATGGGGAAGTAAATCGATGACAATTGTCGCGGAATGAATCGATTAAGCTTTGCATCTCATCATACTGGTATAGTTTTCGATGCAGTTATTATCGCTTTTTAACTATTCTGAATTTATGGTAACGCTAGGGAATTAGCCAACTATTTGCATGATAAAGAAAGAAAAATAATGCAAAATAAATTGCAATCCTTCATTCGAGTTTTGATATATACATTTATACGTCGTGTATAACAACGACTTGATCATCATTTTCACTTTCATTACCTTATACACTGACGGCCAAAGTTGAACATTAATACAATTACAATGGTAGATTTTGAAGTAAAGAACGGAATGAACTAAGGGCTCATTTCTTCGAACTATTATTGTAGATATGCATTATAAGTTTTGATTGCAAAGCTGAGATATGATAGAATTTTGTCTGTTCCAAATCTTTGAAGATTTCACAGTTCAAGCAACCCAAGTAACTCTGATAATACAATGAACATAGGAAATTCTGTTTGCTTAAGACTCTACTGTGCACAATAATAAGAACAACGAAGGTACCTAAATGTGCACTTCTCCACTCAATCCAATAGCTTCAGTCATCAGCATATCACCCTCCATACCTTCACTCAATGAGTTCTCATTACAATGCGGCATCGATACTGGCATATACTTTAGATATATACCTCACCCAAACCCAACCAGAGAGTACCATGAGTATCTTGGTTGCCGAGAACTTCGCGAGAAAGCAGAGCATTACATGAGTTCGTTAAGTATCTGAATTATCTATAAGCTTTAGAAGTTTCGAGGTCCCAAGATTTCCAGCAGCTCAAAATCCAAGGAATGTGCTCACTGGTGGAGATTAATCGATGTTTTTTCACCATATCCTTGTTCTTAGATGCAGCGATCGATTCACTTGATCTTTAGTATGTTAGCATTCTGTGCGCATTACGGATTTGTATCTTCAAATGCGACATCAGTTTTTCAATTTACCGAAGAAGCACGAGTTGCTCTTTGTCCGTTTGTTAGTACCACAGGAATGAGATGCTTCGATGGCGTTCCTTTACCTCGTTCTGGCAGAAGCTTTGGTTCGGACTTTACGAAATTACCACGTGGCGTCGGTATCAGTATCGATAGAAGTACTGGTCGTCTTATGGCTCCAGCGGTACAATTAACATATACGCCCGCAGGCAGTCGTACATGGACCGATGGTCACACTGGTATGATTTTCGATTTATTTAATGAAGCCACACTGGGCCCAGCTCATCAAGTGGCAGCCGCTTATGACACTGCTCGTATTCATACTTTTCACAATGCTTCCCGGTTGAATGCAGTATGGCGACAAACATTTGCTGATGATGCAGTTCATGGTGGAGAATTAGCTCGCCGACCTGAAATGCTTGAATATTTTAAGAAGTGAGTGTTCGATTTTAATTTGCAGAACTGAAGCTAACTCATAATCTTTCATTCATTCAAATGTATCGTCTCGTTTTCACTTTATGAAAATCGGCATTTCTGTGATTAGTCATTATATTCATCATTTCACTATTGACCACTAACGAGTCATATCTTCTATGCATGTGTCGGTGGTGGCAGATCTATGAAATAGCGAACTTATTCAATAATTTCTTTCACTAGGCTAAAGACATTTTTTCGAGTGACACTTCAACGTAGAATACCACGGTAGTACTAGCTCCAGTTATAGAGCTATGCAAGTAATTAGATCCCTTTTTTGAAGTTCAAGGAAGTTCATTGGAATGCTCGAGTCTTCTTCTAGTTTCTATTACTAGAGACATATGAGCTAAAGGGGATGTCGCAAGTAAATGAGCCAGATACCAATTTCCAGCGTCATTCAAAGCGCTAACATCAGGCGCAATGTTCTGTGGGCATCTGTCTCTCATAGCATCCGTACCTTATATACCTCGTATACTTTCGACAAATAGGACTAGAAGAAGCCTCCAATTCAAATCTTTCAACCCGAAGAATAAAAGCTCGAGAAATTTTAGGCAAGTATGCATACTCTTCGACGTAGTCTGCAGTGAAAATCAATTTCAGTAAATACGTAGAAGCAACTTCAATGATTGGAAGTGCCGTTTCGAATATGTTTGACATGCATAATGAAAACAGAGTTTGGGTCTATTTGTCCAGTTTTATCACGTTGAAAACTTTGCATTAGTTTATTCACTATGAAGAAGCTTATTTGTCTCGCTCGATAATTAGTGTTTGAACGCGGAAAGTAGATGTAGGGGAAATCTGAGATATGGCTTCATGTGTGATCCAAAAAGGACTTTTCCACTTTTTCTCAGAGGAACACTTAAATGTGAACACTAATATTACGTATTTCTTTAATTTAAGCAAGTATATGCGTATATGTTTTCTTCTCATTGGATACAGTTCTCGTAGAACTGCCATTCTGCTGAGCGCATTCAAATAATCATGTGTGAACAAATTGCACAAGATTCGAAGAAGAAATATCACAAGCGTTTATTACGGCAATAGTAGATGATTCTCAGTTTTATAAGCAAGAACTTTGTCTGATCCCATGATACGCTACCTGAGAAACAACCAAAGGAGCTTTCTCTCATTTGATTTGAAATATGCTTGTTTCGTATAACCCTAGTAGTAAGAGACTAGAGGAAACACATACCAGTCTGTACTGGAATAATTAGGAATCGTAGAACCCTTGATTTTAATGAATCGGCTTCAAATGAATAGATAGATCCCCGCTAAAGCAGCACATCTTCAAGGATACGCGAAAGTCCATATTTACTGTTCCAGGATTTGTAGTAGATGGTTGTGGGTTCTTCAAAACATACAAGAAAAACCTATTGATGGATAGAAATTTCGAATCATTTTGTTGATTTTAATCAAAACCGTGAAATTATTGTGTATTAAGTACGATAAGTTTCTGTTCAGATTAATAGGGTTACTAACTTGATAGAAGTGTGAGTGAGAATGTGGATTAACTGTTCAATCAAGCATGCATTCTTCCGTTTCCATGAGTAGCATTCAAACCACTCGATTATGATATGTAGCGGTTGCATGAAGTTAAAATATTTTTGATAATAGTCGCCAACAAAAGTTTTATTTTCTTTTAGCTATTTTAGCCGTGATGAGGCTCTGGCACTGTCTCAACGTGTGATTGGCCTGTACACACTAAGAATAAATGCCTCAGCCATACAGCTTAATGAATTTGCACTTCGTGCGCTTTCACAGCTAACAGCAACGTTTGATGCAGATCTCTATGAAGATTTTCTCAACACTTGGGGAACCCATATTATCACTAGATCACTTGTGGGTGGCATGATAGAAGAACGAGCTACAGTACCACGATGCTCTCATGTTTCTGATGATGCTAGGTTCGCTCACTGCGTACCATTCAGTGACTCGGGTCCAATCAGTTCCAATTGTACCTACTATGCGAGTCAAATACGCGTGATTTCAAAACGTCTTCTTGGTGGAAATGTGGAAATCAATAACGAGAACCAATGGAGAAGAACGCTAGCTGTCAGACCTGCTCTTCTGCAGATTCTGGAGATGGTTCCGTGGTCCGACTTTATCACCGATAATGCGGTGAAACAAAACTTGATCGCAATCATGCGGAATCGACAGAGGTATTTTGATTTTATACAGGCAGCATCAGTTGAACTAGTCGATTCACGCTTACAACCATGCGTTTCAGGTGCTCAGAAAATGATTAATTCACCGTATAAATCCTCAAGTATTCTATATCCTATTTTGAGAGCACGTGGCCTCAGTGATACAAATAGATTGACTATTATAGCCAGTTAAATTTCGATCGAATATGAATCGCTATAGATTTGTATTTTTTAGACAATAAGTTCGTCGGTTGCTCATGTTGGGACCCCGGATTTTCGGCCCAATATGAAATGAAGTTGAGCGTGAGAATGACCCAATTTTACGATAAAACAAGTTTTTTGAGGCCGAAAGTTCGGGTCGAAAATTCCTTGGGCTGAAATTCATGTAACCCTCGTGTTCTTTAGTGTTCTGTACTGCTTTTATCAAGTTAATTTTATCTGTCGATATTAAGTTCAAAATCATACCCAAGATAAGTGAAACAACGATTTGTTTTTTAAAAATTCTGCATAGTTCCTTGATTAATATTTTCTAGTAACTGTTTGTGGGGTCTAATGCTTTTTAACATTTGCTCTTCCATTTCTGGTCATTAACAGGCATTTTCATGCATATTCGTCCCTACTGCACACATATAAGGATTCCCTTGCCTTTTCAACAGTAACATGAAAAGTCTTTGAGTTTTGGAACAGGTCAGATTGGAAGCAACTGGGACATAACCCTGTTTCGTGCACAAACTGTACAAAATGTAAAGAAAAAATATCAATGATTCATTATTCAGAGGATCTGGATACTACGAACGCTGAGGAGAAAGGAAGATCGTCTCTTGTGTGAACTTGGATTTTTTGATCAATACAAAATCGTGGCGAAACAAGCCCGGAATGCAGTTTCAAGAGCTCATTGATACACTTAGAAATCATGAATTTCGTTTTGGTTGACTGCTTCGATCGTTGCTTCCTATAACTTGAGAAATTTTTCGAAAGCTGCGGATGAGACAGATACAATAGAACAGTTTTGATATCGATGTTGCAAGTGCTTAAGAATTCCTTTGAAATCGAACTCTGAGTTCACTCGATAAAAAATTCTTTTGTCTACGAAACGGTTCAGAATGCTTTAAAAATTAATGTTTCTTTTCATGTAAAATTTCAAGGATAAACTCTTATTCAATAGTAGATCTGTGAATTCTAGATCTTTTCTGATATTAAGTGATACGTCTATACGCTCCCCATGAAAACCAAAATTGAAACTTAGTTATGTAGCATTAATAGCTAGAGAATTGAGTGCTCGACATTTTGAAGACCTTTAAAAGATCATTGTTAATCTTATTCGTAAGAAGTAGCCTTCGATTTATGTAGTAAGTGGTGCAATTTTTGGATGAGTTTCGGAAAATCATGTTTTTCAAAGATGGCTTTGTTATATAAAGTACCATTATGTGCAGAGATTAATTGTGAGAAAAATACAGTATAAATGGCAAGCTTCACACCTAAATTATCATCTCTCCTTCAGAATAATAGAGCGCGAAGCCATAGGTCTGCCCGAAAATAATGTTTTTAGATGCCATCTTATTTTCGAATTCTGAACATTTCATTACAAATATATGGCAAAATCTTGGAAATTGCATAAAAAGAACGCAGAATTGATTGCTGCTTTTTCTAACGTATGGGTGCTTTCACACAGGTCCGCCCACGTTTACATCAACATTCTACCGGCACGATTTAAGCATGATAGTTTTGTAGCTCGTGTTAAGTTGTGTGGAAATGCATATTTGGTCTGTTACGAAATCATGCGCTAAGTCCTACAGAGAGCGCTCAAATTCCGATGTTTCAGAAAACCGACCTTACATCTTAAACACAAGTAACGCTCGTCCAAGGACTCGCTTGACCCTCGACTGGATATGCAGCGATATATTTTTAATTAAGTATATTATACACCCTTAAGTAGCACTAAACGATGTTAGTATTTGGTCCTCAAAAACGATTTTTACGCCCCTGTTTGTTAAAACAGCCTCAGGTATGCCTTCAATAAGGACACACATGACAGTATACTACGTGTGCCATGAGTTGATCTAGAGACAGATTTATTCAAACACCAATACTAAAATTAACTTTCGCCTATTTAAATTAAGCAAATGGTACGCAGTTGTACAGGCACATATCAATTTCGAATTCCAAAACTCATTTTACTTGTTGCAAATTTTGCTTAAACTCGGGTTATTTAACGGTGCTGAAAGAACTGACCCGCCAACTATACTTTCTTGCTATTCTGCCTGCAGAAAATTTATTCCTATAGTTTGTAGAATAAATGTGTAAACCTCAGATTTAAATCCGAGGGTTATGCGTACTTCAAAAAGTAAGAATAATTGACGAGAGATTGATTTTTATCAAACTGTTAAAAGAATCGACCAATAGTGTCAGTATACATGAGTTTTTCATAGTTCTCTGAAAGTGCCATATTGAGGAAACCTCAGATGCATCATTTTTACCTCTATAATATATCATTATTAAGAGCTCTTGACTAGTTCTATCTAATCCAAAAAAGCGGAATGTGAGTGTGGTGTGTGAGGGTATGGGTGTTGCTGTGGGGAATTCAAAGAAGTTCTTAACTCAAACCCACACCCAACCACGGACAAACTATCCCAATCTGATATGCATAATTTTCAGCAAAAGAGAATTTCTGCTTTATTCTTTTAGCAATACCCAATATCCCTTGTAGTGCTAGATGGGAACGCAGTGGTGTAACTGTTGCTGGAGGTCGTGGAGAAGGCAGTGATCGTAATCAATTGAAAAAATCTTATGGTATCTTTATTGATAATGATGAGACAGTGATTATTGCTGATTGTTTCAATCATCGTGTCGTTCAATGGAAGCCGAGTGATACGAATGGACAAATTGTTGCTGGAGGAAATGGCCAAGGAAGTAGTCTTAATCAATTGAATCATCCAAGTGATGTATTAATCGGCAAAAAAATGGATAGTCTCATAATTGCTGACTTGGGAAATCGACGAGTTGTACAATGGTCTCGTCGCTCTGAAACACTACAAGGAGAAATACTCATCGATAATGTCGCTTGTTATGGTTTAGCGATGGATACTCAGGGATATCTCTATGTGCCTAACGCCTTAAATAATGAAGTGAGGCGATATCGAATAGGTGACAAGAATGGCATTCTCGTAGCTGGCGGAAATGGTCAAGGTTCTGGCCTCAATCAACTCAACTTGCCGACGCATCTTTTTGTTGATCAACAGCAGAATCTTTATATATCAGACCGTCACAATCATCGTGTAGTGAAATGGAACAAAGAAGCAAAAGAAGGAATTGTTGTTGCCGGTGGTCAAGGCACAGGGAATGCAATGGCACAATTGCATCATCCTGAAGGAATCTTCGTCGACCAATTCAGTAATCTCTATGTAGCAGACGAGCATAATCATCGAATAATACGTTGGACTCAAGGAGCCAATCAAGGCACTGTCGTTGTGGGTGGAAATGGTATAAGAGGAGGTGCGAATCATCTTAACTATCCTATGAGTTTGGCTTTTGATCGGCATGGGAATCTCTATGTTTCCGATCATGTGAATTATCGTGTTCAACGATTTTCTCTCATAAAACCTCATTGAGAGTCTACTGACATATTTCTTTCTCTCTCCGTTTTTTTCAATTCGAAATGAAGTCGATTGAAAAAAAATGAGTCTTTATTTTACTTTTCCTTTCTTCTAATTTGATTTGCTATTCACCGGACGACCTATCTTTCCTCTTTGTATTTGCACACCATCATGTGAACAGGAAATACCCGGATAGTAACTTGATAGGCCGTTAAGGTCCCTCCCTACCCCTCAAAAATCGATTTCAGCCCAGGAACATCCCAATGAGATGAAACTTTCAGGATATGTTGACACTAGAAAGGGAAGACTAACATAAAATTTTCAGCCAGAAATTTTTAGGTTTCAGGGAGATATGAGTCAAAATAGGGTCAAAAATGATTCATTTGGCATCCCAAAATCTTGAGGGTGTGGGTAGGTGTGGGTGTGAACAGCAGTCAAGACTAGTTTCATCCTTGCTGAAGGAAATCATCAGTTGACAAATAATCTATATGATAAAATTAAAATAAATTTTAAAGAAATCACAAGATAAAATTATATCTGACTTTTATGTAGAATTAAAAATAAACTCATACATATAAGTTGAAAATTTCAAATAACTGTAGTGTGAACAGCAGTCAAGACTAGTTTCATCCTTGTTGAAGGGAATCATCACTTGAAAAATAATCTATATGATAAAATCAAAATAAATTTTGGGTGTGGGTGTGGAATATGAGTATTATGATCACACCCACACCCTCTGCTCCTCGATCATACATTTCGCTTCATGAATTACAATTTCTTCTATAATTCTTCAATCAACATTTAAAGCTGCCAAAAAAATAACGGATGTTTTTGATGCACAATTCTAAGCTAAATGTTAACTATTATATTTTCATTCTTCCTACTTCCTCTTTGATTTCACTCCCATCACTGAGATAGAGTATATCAATATTCTCAAAATCTTTATACCATTTATTAAAAGATTTCATTCGTAGTTCACCACCCTACTTTTATGATATCTTTTTGTAGATCCTTGCTCGTTCATCATTGATCTCATTTTCTGAATTAAAATCAATGATCGATTTGTTGAATCGAACTTTATCGGTACGAAAAAAACAATTAACAATATTTGAAATTTAAGATTGAACACGAATTTCTATAACTATTTTTTTTAGATCCTTGCTCGAATATGATACAATTCCTTTTACGACTTTCAATTTACAATGGATTTTACTGAATTATTATTTTCTTGGTACGAAAACAACGACTATCAAGATTTTTAATTTATGATTGAACAGGAATTTCTACAATTATTTTTTTAGATTCCTGCTCAAATATGATTCAACTCCTTTTTCGAATTTCAATTTATGGTGGGGTGTGGGTGTGATAGAGCAGACAATATCTAGATTACATCTCGACTAATAGAATCATCAGTTAGATTTAATCACAATATATGTGTACATGTAATTCTGTATGATTCGAAAAAATTCAAAATCAAACACAAAGAATTACATTCTACACTGCTATATAACAATAAAATAGAAAAACACCTATTGTACATAGTGGCAGTTGTACGTTTACATAACTGTGGTATTTTTCGTGTTATCAACAATTGACTGAATGATTTGATGATTTTACTGTTACGATCACCGTTAGAAGTGTGCCGTTCTTGTTTTAAGATATTATGGATGTGGGTGTGGGCGTTGAGTATACGCGCGGATGTGGGTATGCTTGTTTTCTACCTTTCTACTCTTCTACACCCACAGCCACACCTACACGCAAGTAGTAGGATAACCAAGGATTCTCTGGTGATAGGGCGCCGCCTTACCACTTTTAAAAATTCCATCCATCGCTTTAAGTTAGATTTTTTCGGCGGCCGAAAACAGATCCTTAAGTTGTACTTTCTCAAAAAAAGGATAACTCAATGTATCTATACTATTATATTACGTGAATTTATGTGAACAATAAAGATAAGAGATGAAAAATAAATGCACAAATAAATGACAGTTATTTCAACAATATTCGACTGTTTTGTAGTTAATGGCAAAAGCATTAATTATTTTTTCATTGTCAACAACAAAATTTCTTTTAATGCCTAATAAAGACAAATTACTCAATATATTGTGGCAGATATTAGTATGTGCACTAGTTTTGATTAATTTTATTTTACTGAATGTTCGTTCTGTTGTGGTTGAACATACTGAAATAGTCAAAGCACCGATAACAGGATATATAATCGTGGGAAATGCCTGTTGTAATGCTAAAACTTTAAAAGATAACTCAACTACATTTTTTTGATTTTGATTGTTTGAGCATAGGCGTTTCCCTAGACTGAAAGGATAGGGTCTGGAAACCGTAATTCACCTGTGTCTGTCTGTCCGTCTGTCTGTAACACTGGCACAAATAATCATTTTCATGGTACAAATACACATTTCTATGGCACATGACCATTCTGATGACACGTATTACTGGCGGATCGACTTAGAGGGCACGCAGAGAAGTCAGTTCTAATGGCAGAGCGAGTGAACTGGCAGCCGGAATTCCCATAAGGAACTTTGATCCCTCCTTCGCCAAATTTTTAAACGCTGTGATCCAGTAGCTAGGTGAAAGTCAGCCCTTTCCGCTGCTTAAAAATATGTAAGTCCCCTCTCGAGAATTGTCAACAGTGTGTCGTATTAGCTAGGTGGCTGTGAGCTCTTCTCCGTCCGTCCCCCATCAGAAGTAAAATCGGAGTTCGGGCACTGCTTCGCACCTGTCTTTCGCCCTTATTTTCACTGCGTTCTTATTCATAGTTTTTGGAAATTTCTCATTGTCTGCTCACTGGTACCCTACTTTCACTTATTCTCCCTCTACCTTCCTTGCCTCGGTTCAAGTTATTCAGCCAGATTTTTGGAAATTTCAGGATGTTTGAAGTAAACAGCCGACGAAGTGGACTCTTCATATATTTGTCTGTATGCGTTCTGTCAGTCTACGGCCTAGTGAATCGATTTTTGATTCACGATACTTGTAATACTTGAATTTCCTTAGACAATGATATAATATCACATTGTAACATAATACATACATATGTTAATTGTTTCACCTCTAAAATGTTAAACTGTTAGGTGATAGAGAAGAGACGCCACGAATAATTTTCATTTTGCTTTTTGAAAAACAATCGTTCATTTCTTGGGGCATAACAGTTCTCAGATCTAAGAACGGTTAGGATCTACACTGAGATGATGTCTATATCAATATAGGCGCCTCTTATGAGATCTATTCGAACAGTTCTTTTGATCGGAACTAAAACTGAACTGTCATATCCCTATTCATTTCAAGAAGGATATAATCAATTACCGGATAGAAATCAAAATCCGTATATTCACTCTCATTATCAATTTCTTCACATCGTCCTATTGTACTTGTAACTGAACAATTTTTAAATCTTGTTGAAATTGTTCTTTGTCTTCTTTGTTTAACTT